GGGCCGGGCCGGGAGGGGATGGGCCGGGCCGGGAGGGGATGGGCCCTGCCCGGAGAGGTGCCGGGCCGCACTTCCTCAGCGCCCCGCGGAGGCGGTGCAGCAGCCGCGGACCATGGCCCAGCGCCGGGAGCCGAGTCCCGCCGCGCCGCTGGACCGGGAGCTGGCGGCGCTCGGGTAAGCGGCGCTCGGGGGGCCCGCACCCTGGGGACCGCCCTCAGGAGCCCGCCCTGGGGTGCCGGATCACCCGGCGGGGGCTGGCGGTGGGGAGCTGCTGCGTCCCGCGGCTGGATATCGGTGATGGAGTGAGGGATGGGGTGGCGCGGGGTCTGTCTGAGCGCGGCCGCCCCTCAGAGGGCGCAGCGCCTCGTCCCTGTGGCAGGGGGAAAGGCCACAGGTGGCCGGGAGAAAGAAATARTAGAAAAACGAGAGTGCAGAGACTCGTGTCGGATGTAGCGGAATGTTGGTGGCTGGGGGTGCAGCGTGAAGCCGTCGCCATCGGATAGAGCCCTTGTACCGTGTCATTCCCCTTTGTTTCCAGGGAGCACCAAACTTAAAGCTTGTGCTCAGATCCCTGTCCTCCCTGTGGCATCCCTGCAGCTGTCTGCTTATAGCTCGGTCTGGACCCTGGACCGGAGAGCTGCTGTCCTTGCTGGGCCCCGGGAGGCAGCAGGATTCCCAAATCCTGGGTCTCTAGGAGGGAGCGGACAATTCACAGCCGCTACCAGGTCTTCGCGCTTGCCGAAAAGCAAAACCCCAGGAGCAAAAAGGAAGGCTGAAGGTTGCAACAACCTCCRTYCCCTGTCTGATGTGAARGTTGCAACAACCTCCGTYCCCTGTCTGRTGTGACGCGCCCATTTTGCCTGCCAGTCAGTGCTGGCTTTTCCAGGAGGAAGGTTTGGGTCACTTTGTCACCGGCAGCGTTGCCGTGGACAAGAAGAAACACGGGCTGCAGGAGTCACACAGGTGGGATCAGGGGCAGCAAAGCAGAGAAAAGTCAGTGATGATTCTGACAAAGCAAAAAGGCTCTGGTGTCACCTCTGCATTCGAAAAGAATTGATGAAAAAAGTGAAGATGTTTTGCTTCCCGAGTACTTGTGGATTAGGACAAACTCATTGTACCTATAAACAGCCTCATKGTCTGGCAAGGAGTTCATCCTCATGGATGGTCTTGTAGAAAAGCAGCTTGATGTGGTACTTAATGTGAAATCCATCGGAAGAAAAGAGCACAAGTGAGAAGGCTACAAATATGTAACCTTTGTAAAGGTGTATCTTCTTTATTTTACTTTCCGTTCAATGGAAAACTTAGACTTTTCACGCTTCCACAGAATACTAAGCATCTCCTGCAGGGAAGTGTGTTGAGTTAMATGCGTTAAAGTTGAATAGGCAGTGCCAGGCAAACAGTCCCTTCAAAATTATTAAACAAGGCCCTTTCTTTTCATCTACTACTAAAGCCACTTTTTTGTTTTGTTTTTTTATTTTTAAGATGAAAAAGAAGCCTTTACAGAGCAAACATTCTTGTTGCATAACCTGAAAGATCTCTTAATGTAAATACTTTTTCAGCTGTGACAAGTAGGTGTGTCACTTTTTAGACTGTAAAATGAAATCCTCAGTCATCACAAAGGTTTTTCACCCTACACTTAGTYCCATGCTCTCACAGTGCAGAACTCCCCTGACAGCTGATGCAGTGTCTAGCACAACTGAGACCCAGTTCTGGTGAGGAGTAATGTGTCCAACAGAGACAATGGTCATTCAAACCAGGAGCAGCTTTGACATTCACATACCTTTGGCAGGGGGATTTTGAAGCAGTTTATTTTAAAGCTTCTGCTTTCTGGTGCGAAAATCAAAGAAGTTGGATAAGGTTTAAAGAAGTGTGAAATGGGAAGGGCTTTACTTTTAAGAGGCTGAGTACCAGGGTATGCTTGTGGTTTATGAGGCTAGCTGCTCAGCAGAATGAACGTGGTCAGCAATGTAGTGAAAATTCAGATTACAGTCAGCTCCATTGTATTGGTGTGTATATAGGTGGACCTAATRCTTAATGGAAAGGAAGGTCAAAACACAAACATGCTGTTCAAAACTTGTTGCCTCACCCATTAACTTTGTCCCTAAATCTATGAAAAAGTGTAAAAGGGAACACTGAAGTTTGCCAAGAGACATAAGCGCCTTGGTTTAAAGGAAAAGGAAACTGAAAATGGAATTATTCTTTGAAGGCCTCTTTGGTTATTTCTGGGGAGTCAATCCATTTTYTAATTGCCTTTATTGCTGTTAGAGCTGAAAGCTCTGCAGTGTGAGACTCCTGTGGCTGCTCACGTACAGGGTGAGTTTGGGGAATTCCGCGTGGCAGTTCACGTTATTTGCGCAAGAGATGAGAATGTGGAATATCTCGTCATCCGAGTAATTACAGCCTGGTCTGCTAGCACAGTTTCCATCCCAATACAGCATACTTTGGGTGACTCTATTTGTCTGTTGGAAGTGAAAGGCATGGGACAAAAGGAAACAAATTTTTGTACCCTTTCTCCCTTCTACAGTCCGAGCTTTCTTTGTCRCCCCTTGTAGCAGAGCTTTTATGCTTCCCCAGGTTTGACAGTACAACGACAGATGATATTTGTAAGACTGAACAATACAATTAATGCTTACATTTAGTAACAGAAGAGAAATCAGGCCACAGGTCTAGATTAGGTGATAATAAAATTGAGGAATTGAGAAACATGTTAGACTGAAACRGAGTAAATGGTCATAAGAATCTTTTTCTTCATCTGTTTTCTAATTTAAGCAAGCAAAAAAATAAAGCAACTAGAAAGTAGGCAGAATGAGAAAATCCGAATGAATGCAATGGAAAGAAGGGGGAGACAAAATAGAAGTGAAAAGCAGAAGCTGAGCTAGTGAAAGTCTACAGTTAGAAGACTGGATACACTGATGTTATTTCCTGTTATTTCTATTTTAAAATTATTTTTCCCATACAATGTCATCCTTGTATTCCAAGGAAGTACTTTACATAGGTGGACGATTAAGTGTTTCAGTGTAACACATTGAAAGGATGTCTAGTAAATAACAAATTTGGTTGCCTGCCACCTGTAACTTTTGTCGTAGCATTCTTGTCCTCCTGTAGATTCTCTAGAGCTCTGTCTACTCACACACCATTTAAAACATTGCCAAAACTTCACTTTTAGTGATGTGAGGTACAGAGAATCCTTTTGTAATTTTCAGATGGGCAATGCTTCTAGGGTTTGATATTAAAAAAAAAATTAAAAATCCAAAAATTAAAGAATTAATCTTGACAGTTAAGACCTGGAAGTTGCTRAAATACAGAGTGCCAAAAATAGAGAACTAGTGAGTCAGTTTTGTCGTCATTTTTGGAGTACAGGCRTGTGAAGGGCATTGCATCCAGCTGGAGGAGATAAGTCAGTGCTTTCCCATGCACTCCACTGAACAGTACCGTGTATCCCTGCTTTAACCTCAGAGTGGGAATATGTCTTTGAGACTAGAATATAGTTTCAAAGTGCTGGCAAATCCACCTCCCTGTGATAGGAGGTATTTTTAATATTAAAAAAATCACTAAAAAGCACAGAGATTGGCAACATTTACCACCACAAAAGAAAAGAAAAGAAAAGAAAACAAAACCCTGGAAACAAACAAAAAATCCAACTAACCAAMCCAGGGTAAACAACTGCTATGAGTAATATTGAACTGAAGACCTACTGGGAGCACATCTGGTCCATCTTCCCACTAATACGGATCGCTGTTACCTTTCAGAGGTGGACAAGACCTGAATTAAATTTGCAAATGTTTCTGCTTGGCTCCTGCATCTCAGAGAGCCAAAGTACTTTCCCTGGGGAAAGTCACCCACCACGGAGCACCAGCAATATCACACCTTCTACACTAGGGGAGGGAGCTTCTGGGAAGAGAGCAGAGAGCTCACCCAGCTGAGCACCAAGAATCTCCTTCTTGCTTCACAGAAAGAACTTTGAATTGCCTTCTTCACAAAAGCAAGCCAAACATGCACAGTTTCTAACTCTATCCAACTATACCGGCATAGGTCTGTATGTGTTTACCTTCCTGGTGGTCTGTGGTGCAAATTCTAAATTTTCCACAGCATTTAAAAATTTTAGCTGCGTTTATGCATTTGGAACAAAGTTTGTGTGACCATTTTCACAGTGGAACATYGAAGTAACCTGATTGAGCCATTTGTCAGAATCAGGAAGAGGAAAAAAACCCAAACTATGTATAACAGTCCCTTTGGCACAAAGATCTGCATTACTGTCTCACATCCACTTCCATATTTTGAGCGGAACAAGAGTAACACAGTAATATTTGAGGGATTTTTGTCTGAGACAGCRTATTTAGGCAAGAAGCTAGTAYAGYCTTGTCAGCAAAGTTTTAAAATTGYRCTTTYAAACAACATTATTTTYCCAGTTAAGGGTTTTGTTGTTGGTTTTTGGTTGGTTTATCTATTTTTTTGCATAGTAGTAACATTTCACTAGTCACTGGCCTTTTATGTGTAAAAAGAGAGTGGATTTGAGCACAGTATTTTTTAAACTTAAGTGACTTCTCTTCTAAAATTTTAGTAAAAGGCCATTTTTTTGGACATGAGGTAACCAGCRCAGCTATGAGTAACCTCAAATTGAATTCGGCTCTTTCATGACAATGACTGCTCACAGATTTTTCTCAACATCTGCTTTTTTACACCAAAGTGAGCAAAATAGTGTTCCTAAATCCCACCTAAAACACCTGCAGGTCTGGCTGTGCTGATACCATCCTCCCCAGATCAGGACAGATCTGACCTTTGGCTGTTCCTTACTCGGGCAGTTAATCCCAAAGCRGATTTTGGCTAACAGGTGTTCCAGAGGATGACACTTTGATCTTTAAATATTCATTATTTTATTCTACTGTGTAGTTGGACCACATTCTAGAGCCAAAGCAGCAATACCCTGCCTGTATCGAGTTTCACATGGATCTTGTCTTCCTCTGGGTTAACTGTCTGCAATCTCTCATAAAGMAATTTATCAGCCAGCTGGCCTTTCAAATAGGCAGCCAGCCAAATTCAGAGTTAAAACTTTGTGTGAGTTGCCAAGTTTGGTGGAAACTTGGGATGAACAGCTAAGGAGAAAGAGTATACAATTGCAACTGGTTTCATTCGAAGACTGCTGTGATGCAAATTCTGGAAAGTGCTGCGGTGACTCTTCTGCTTTCAGTGAAACTTTTTCTTTGGCTGCAGGGTGATACAAGCTTTGATCCCAATGCTACAGGCACACCCAGTTTAAAGGAAGGGAGAAGCAACCTGGCACCACTCCACAYGCAGACAAGGGAAACTTGCTCCCTGCAGAGCCTTGGGTGTAGTGTCCCTCCCTTCTTCTGCACCAAAGGCTCATGTGTGTGTTTTGCGTAGCTATCGTTGATACCACAACGATAGGTATCAGGATTGCAACTCCAACCTTTCATAGCTTCATCTTTTTGGGTTCAGTCTCAGGTTCATTCCCAATGGGATCTCTGTTGTAAAAAACTGAGTGTTTTTCCATTGTGGAACATTCTGAGTGGAAACCATTAATCACATTTCTGGACTTTCTTGCAGGATTTTTTCCTGTGAATTGCTTGCAAAATTTTTCATGCAACAATGAAGTTAATTTGCACTGAAGATAAATTGAAAAAGTGTTTAGATGCTTTTCTTTGTTGCTTAGACCATGTGTGGCCAAATGGCGGCAACAACAAGATATCTATCTTACTTTTCACTGAAATTCTGTCAGTTAATTTTGATCTCTAATTCTGATCTTAGGCAAGCATGCTTAATTGCAGACCTTGGTAATGAAGATGTATTGAGGGAAATACAGAGTTTATAGGAATTTAAGTGCTGCCTGTTTGCCCAGAAGAGGAAGTGCACCAAAGATTATACATGTGCCAGGAAATACAGCTTCTGAAAATAGACAAAGGATTCTGTATACCCCCCCCAATTGCTTTCACGTTATCAGCACAGACCTGGGTAATTTGTTGCTCATGCAAGTAGAATTTGCAGGGCTTTTTAAACTTCAGCAAAACAGCTGTTTGTACACAACCTTGCATTAACAAAAGATGTTGAGAGGAAGCCACTGCAGGGGACAAAAATCTATATGAACTGTGAGTGCCTGTGAGAAGGGTGGCAACTCAAAATTATAGAGGAAGGACTGCAGCTAACATTGCTTTTTCTAGCCCTGCTCCAAAAAGCAGCAGCTGTCAGTGAAGAGCCAAGTGAAGGATGCTTTAACCTCTTGTGTYTCCCCAGGTGGTACCACGACAATCTCACGCGGCACGCAGCAGAAGCGCTGCTGCTCTCCAACGGGCAGGATGGGAGCTATCTTCTGAGGAAGAGTAATGAAAGGGAAGACTTGTACTCTCTCTCTGTCAGGTACAGTGTGGACAGAGTGAACTAATCTAATGCTGCACTTACTTCCATGTTTGAATGTCCCAGGTTGTTTTTTTTTTTTTTTTTTTCCCTAGGACTTAAACTTGAAATGTATTCCTACTGGTATAATTCCACTAAGTGACATTTTGGGCCTGTCAACGATTCATGGCCGTAACTCAGCTGAATCACAGTAACTTCTTAAAGTTGCTTTGATCTGTGTACTGCTGCTGCTTATTTTCACCCCTGACAGGAGCACAACACATGCCCCTGAGATTGGGACTTTGTGCAAATTCAGTACCAGGAACTGTTAACAATTTGGAATCGCAGTTGCTTGGGAAGTGAGGAAAGTGCAATTTGCACATTACCCTATTCCCCAGAAAAGGSTACAATGAGGTGTTCCACCCATTTCTGACAGAAGATCTAGGAAAAAGTGTGCCTATTGAAATTATTACCACTATAGGCAGCCATTTATACAAGAATAATTTTTGGGAATTCCCAACAGACCTGAAGGTTATGTTACAAAATGAGTATTCAGAGACWGAACTGGGGGCAAGTGTTGAGGAAAAAGAATAGTGCCATTTATAAGTAATAGCTTTCCTTAAAAAAAGTAACTTTAAATGCATCATTGTTTTGCTGTTAATATTTTTGTTACTTTAAAATGTAACTAGGCATTATTTGACATAACTACCTCAGACAATTTATATATATATATATATAGATGTATCTTGAAGGTAGTTTTAAAGGGCATTCAGGAAAAAACTTACTGGAATAAAACAGAATGTAAATATTTTTTTCAATAGAAAAAGCATCAATAAAAATAAATTTGCTGCTTTAACAGATTCTAGCCTTAGAAGACCTAGAAAGGGCTATTTCAAGCCCATTCCAATCTCTTGTTCAGTTCTTCATKTAGTGAGCATTAATGCATTACCATAACAACTGAATAGCCCAGTCTGAAGTTTGATCTTCTGTTCTGTTAGTTTCTGTTATTTCTGGTGGTACAGCTCCTTTGACWACTGATTTTGATTTTAAAATGTTTTACAATTTTTCTACTGTTTGTTTATTTTTATKTTTTTTATTAATATTAAAACTTAATTTGAGAATAAGTTATTCAGTTTTGTTCTACTATGTTTCTGTAGAAAGGATAACTTTAGTAATTCTAGTTGTTGTTTTCCTTCTGTCCTAAAATGTCTTTGTAGYTTTTATTTTACTTTCTGCCTCAGCCTCACAAGGAATTTCAGTTATAGTTTAGGGTTTCATAAGGAAAAAATGCTTAGACATCCCTTGAGGTTTTTATTGACAGCTGTAGGAAGAGAGATCACATATTGTCCAAAATCCCCTCCCCCAGCTACCTCAGCCAGTTTGAAAAGGAAGAAGGAAGCAGAGTAGAATTTGCTCCCATTGCAACAYTGTCTTGAGAAATGAAACAAAAAGATGGGAAACCCTGTCACTGTCGCAGTTCTTTCTTGCTGTGGAGCACTTGCACTTGGCTTCTTGTGCCCCAGCTCACTGTAGCACAAGATGTGGGAGGCCCATAGAGGCATCTTCTACCATATCATGAGTACTGGTCAAAGAGAAATGCTTAAATACCTGTTTGAAATCATAATCTTCTGTGGAAGTGGCAATAAGCAAAGAAWTAGACCCTATAATTCCCTTTCTTCACCATATTTTCGGTATGGTTGCTATATAAGCTTTTCCTCAGACAAAGTTCACTCTGAGCTATTTTGGATGCTAGTAATGTGAACAAAAGTAACTTTTTCACTGGAGACTTGCAAGATGTGCTTCACTGTCTTTTGAAGTTAAAATAATTGCCCATCCAGGAAGTGAGGTCTTACACACTTCTCTAAATGCAGTCAGGTTTCATAAACAAAAGYTGTTACTTCCCTTACAGAACAAGGACCCTGGTTTGTGTTTGTCAGTGCTCATCCTAGTGGAACCAGTCATCCAAGTACAGAGACAAAGCAAACCAATTCTAAAGCCCTAGGTATTTAAAACTAGGTTATTAAATTCCTGTTTGGATGCCAAAAGGAAACAGAAGGCATTTGCAGTGAGATTGGGATGCTACCTGAAAAGTAAGATGCCAAGTGCACCAACAAGACCAAAGTCCAGTAGGTGAAGGGATATCATCCTATTTAGGCAGAATCTCTTGAAATATCTTTTGTGAGTCTTTTTGCTGATGCAAGGGTTAAATTAACCAACTTGGCCTTTCTAGGCTTTCAACATCTCTTATCAGTAAAGGAGCAATTAAAATTGATTCTCATTTGTTGAGTATTAGTGAGGGACAGTAATAGTAGTTGTAATACTGCTAGGACAGTGATYGGTCTGGGTCAGAGTCCCTGTAGTGAAAGCTGCTATTTAAGGATTGTACGTGCCAAATGCCTTTGGCATTCATGCCTTGACAACAGTTCCTTTTTTATTTTAGGGGAAAAGATTCTGTGAAGCACTTCCATATTGAAAATACGGGAACTTCATTCAAATTTGGATTTAATGAATTTTCTAGCTTGAAGGAATTGGTCATGCATTTTGCAAACCAGCCTTTAATCGGAAGTGAAACAGGTAAGGAGAGCCATATTCTGTGTAGAACACATTTATAGTCATGCTTTAGCAAAGATCTAACTAAAAGCAGCTTCTGATGTGTTAGCAAATAGATCTACTGCTAGTGTTCCTCTTCATAAATTCACATTTGTGTTAACCTCAGGTGTCTAAAAAAATTCCACTTCAAAAAATCTTTCAAGTTCTTTGTAGATAAACCTCACATAAGCATATTGGACTTTTTCTAACAAGGAATATTAGCTCCTTTTGATTTCTCAGAGAAGAAAGCAATTCAAAATACTGGGAGAATTAGAATATTCTCAAAAATGGCAAAACCAAAGCATGTTAGTGACGAAGTAAATATTAATCCATGAATTTGAAACCCCTCCACAAAAGAATAAATGGAAAATCCACTTGAAACAGTYAGTTAACTCCAAGGAAGGAGTTCTGTTATGCTCCTCTTACCTGTAGGGAATGTGTTTTTAAMCAGCTCTGCTGATGCCATCTGCCGCCACAAGTGATTTGTCTTCCTTTTAAGAGGAGAGAGAAAAGCACAGGTTTGTTTAACAACCAATGTGCTGCCTGAATTAAGGATCAAAACATTAAACTTGATTCCTACAAGTGAACTGAACACCACCAGACTAGAATCCCTGAAGAAACAACATGGGTTTTGTCATAATAATGTCAGTTTTATATTTAGCTGCAAGTGTAAGAGTTGAAGAGCTGTCAGTACAAGTTAGTGGCAGAAACTTCAGTATCCTCTGTGGYGAGTGTATGCAAATAGCTCAGAGTGGTACTAATTATGTATGCAAGAGACCAGTTTAATGATAGCTGGCACATGAAATAACTAACATGTTGTCTTGGTTTGAAATATMGGTGTTTGTTAATGAAGGAAGGGTATTTTTTTTTGGAGTGGTGGATATGACTTTTTCTAAAATTATTATGGCTTTGAAAATTATGGGCTTTTAGGTACTATAGGTAAAAGGGAATAGCAGTTTTTACTAATATGTATAACAAGGTGAAATAAGTAACAATAATGATAGTAACAACTAACTTAGCTATAAACTCAGTGACAATTTTGCACATAGACACACTCTCTCCTTTGGTGCAGTTATGGTTTTAGTTGCCGGGCAGGGCGGGTGCGATGATTCCCCGGCGGCTGCAGGAGGCGCTGTGGCGCGGGTCCCATTAGTTTCAGATTTTTTACGTGGTTAAGGATGGGCACAAACCGGCGGAGATGGATGGAGAAAAGGTTTTCTACAAACTTACAGGGGAAAGTGCTGATTTTGGTGCTTCTTCTGGATAGAAAGAAACTTTAGAACGGTTAGATGGGTAAAAAGATGAGTAGAATTTTGCGKCTGTAGAYGGGATKCAGTAGAACTCGATCACGGTAGCTGGAATCCCAGGGGTCCCCGGCAMGGCACGGGGGCAGAAGATTACAGTGTAGTAAATAGGAACTGATGATAGGACGCTGGGTTTTGTAGCAGCAGGTGAGTTCTTTCTCGCAGGTAGCAGGTCTGTCGTCCTCTCTTAAGTCAAGCAGGGCAGGAAGTGAAGCTATTGCCCACCTCACACACAGACACACACACACACACAGGACTCCCCGAGCCCAAAAGCTCCCGCGAGAACTTCCCTCTCTTCCAAGAGAGGGGAAAAAAATCCTGTTAGCTAGGAGGAGTGTCTGAGGACACTTTTCGACTCTACTCAGGGCCTAGCACTTTCTTTTGTCTTCTCTATTCGCCTAGCCATCAAAAGAATGATTTGTCAGTGTATTTCAGCAATAAAAATGGGAAAGAAAATTCTCTAAGTAAGGAAATAAAAGGAGAAACTTTAACCGACAACATATGTCACACACTAAACATGCACCAKCCCTCTGCTAATGCAAACATTAAATTCAAGGGCTGCTTTGCCAGTTTCTTCTCMCAAGAAAAATGCAGTTGTACACTCAGTATGGCACTTGTATCTTTCAAAACATTTTCTTGTTAAATTGCTTTTGAGAGTGGCAGAACTCTTATGTGTATCCTCTGTGCCAGTAAGCTATTTTTCCTGTGAAGTCAGGCATGCACSCACAGGCCTAGCTCTGTAAAGATTTCAGATGACATAAAACTTGCAATTCCCTATTCCTCACACCTTCAGTGCAYGTATTTCAGACATTAGTAAGCTAGACATTGGTTTTAGCTGATCTCTGTGGACAGGATCATCATTTGTCAYCTTAAGATTTCCTAATCATAATCTGCTGGATCTGACCTTTAGGTCAGATGTCCTACAGAATTTTTAAACAAAAAAAAAATTAACTGTATCAGGAAACCTTCCACCTTACTATACCATGGAAGACAGTAGAGAGGAAGACAAGAGTTAACACTCAGACAATGTTCCTTCAGATACAGGTGCCAAAGTTCTCCTGGGTTGTTACAATCTTTTGTCAAAAATGGGGTGGGAGCCCATTGGAGTCAAGATCAAGCATCAGCAGATGCAGAGATGGCAAAATGTCTTGCATGGCAGAATAATCTTGCTACAGTTCAGCTTTTACTAGATCTTGTGTATAATTACCAGATTATTCTGTACAAGTGTGTTTATGGAGGAAGAAAAACCCCACAGAGAACTTACTAGTTCAACAAATATTGTATAAAAAGTTAACTAAGTCCTTCCAGTTCTGCAATGGGGCCTTTTATCCATGGTATACAGATGATGGTATTCTGATTCTCTGCAATTGAGATTGCAATTCTGATTGTCTCTGCAATAGCTGAGGAGTAGTTTCTGTAGAGTGGTGATATGGAGCTGTTCTCAATTTTATTTTAAATGGGAAAGCATTATTTTTCTGCAAGRCCAGAGAGAAATAAACCAGTTTTGACTTTCCACCTATGGCAGGTTGATTAGGTCCTATTTGCATACACTCCCTGTTCTTGCAAACAGATTTCAGCAGGTTATTTCAAATACAACTTTTCCACTTCCCCTTTTAGCCCTTCCCATTACAAAATACTTTGAAATTACTCGTACATCTGTAGGTTTCAAGTTCAAGTTGTTACCAATTCTAGCATCCCCCTCCCGCTTTAAGAGCTGCAATATCAACATAAAATGCAAATGGAGCAGCATTTGGTGTGCTGTGACATTATCTTTAAAGAATGGAGTTAGATGGCAGAGCAGTTAGTATTTTAATGAAGTTCTTCACTATTTTGAAAAGTGCAATAGATTCACTAGTGAGAATGCAGGATTTTTTCAGGGAACATGCAATAAGCATGACCTTATTTGGAGAAGAAAAGAATGACTGTAATGAAAATATTTAACTGGAAAGAGCTGTGGTAAGAACAGTTGAAGGCAATGGTAGTGTGGGTTTACTGTAGGAAGGCTGTGTCCAAAGCTCTGACAGATTAAGTGATTTAAGCACCAGCTAGTGGGATGCTGGCAAACCCAGTGACTGTTATGGCCTCCTATCTAGTTTAGCATCCTGCTTACCCCTTCAGCCAGCCTCTTGTGCAGGAAGGGAATTTATTGAGTCAAGAGATTCCCTGCAAGAATTTGCAAGTCTAAAGGTTTTGATAAGGTACCATATATTTACAGCTTTCACATTTGCATTTTTAATTTTAGGAAAAGGTAAAGTTAACCATTTCTCAGAGAGGTAGCTACTGAAAAGTTGTCATCTAAGGTGGTCTTTCTGGATGACTTAYTCCTGCTGTTTTCTCTCCAGGAACTTTAATTGTATTGAAGCATCCTTACCCACGGCAAGTGGAAGAACCTTCCATTTATGAGTCTGTCCGAGTTCACACTGCAATGCAGACAGGAAGGACAGAAAGCCACCTTGTCCCAAATGCTCCCTCAGTAAGTTGTGKTCTGGTGGGAGGGGTGCTTCTGGCCCAAGTTTAGCATGATTGCTGGAGGGAGCTATGGAGTAAGACTGGTAATTAATCCCTTTTATGGGTTTGTAAATACAGGAAGCCTTTACTAAACAAGGCAAAACAAATACATACCTGCTCAGTGCAGTCTCATGACAAATAAAGGTTTTTATAATTGTTGTCACTTTAATGCTGTCCCYGGGAAAACATTGTCTGCAGCTGACCGAGATGAGTCTGACCAGCCAAAGAAAGAATATRTGAAAGATTTTCATTCTCCTGTTCTCTTCCTTTTAGAATGCTGTCTTAACAGTAACATTATCATGAAATAAAAAAAMCAAAAAAACAAACACACACAGAAAAWAATCATCATATACATTTGGGCCACACATTCTGACATCTGAGACTCACTTGGACAGTAATTAGAGGCTCTAAATCTCTTGTAACTCRTATCTGAGACAGGTGGTTTCCCCAAAACAGTTTGCTCAGAACWGAGAGGAAAGTCTTTTAATTATATATTATATTTTTGAGGAAAAAGAGGAAGAGTTGTGTTAATATGGGTTAATGAAGTTGCTACAAGAGCCGCTTCTGACATGTCTCACAACCAGCTCTTCATTGCTGAGTTACACTTTAACATCCAAAGAAGTTTGACTCCTACATAAAAAGATAATATTTTTTCAAGAACAAGTGGTAACTTGGCAAGATATTGATTTTCAGTGGTCTGCAGTCTCACAGCCAGGTCCCTACATAAAGTTTCAGTATCTGAGAAGTCATAAGGTCCAAGTGTCACTCCTCCTGTTAGAGAAACAGTTCAAACCCAAATTTTTCAAAAAAGCTCATTGAATGTAACAGGCTTGTCCTCTCAAACATGGGCTTGTTTGAGAGAAGAGAATGGCTCAGTAAAACAGTTCTTCCCCCTGTTTGCATTTGAGGAGCATTTTCTGGGGATAATTCCATTATCCCAGTTAAACCCCATGGTCACAACAGGCACTGAGGCAACCATCCAACTTTACTAAATACAATAAGGGTTGTAAAGTGTATAAAGGGTTACAAAGTGTAAGTTCAGCTGTTCTGCTGTGTTTGGTTGAGAAGGTGCAGGCCAGAAGCTCAGAGGGAGGCACAGGAGGTTGCCTTCAGAGCCAGCACAGGTTYATGTTTACCCTAGAGGTGATTCCAGCCATCTGAGGGGAGAACTGGAGTGAGGACAGGGCAGTGGGGAGTTTCCCAAAGAACAGGTTGTGATCCATTGTCCTGATGTAGGCAAAGAGGGAGATGTGGGAAATAGAAGCAGAGCTCRGCCTCTAACGCAAATCACTTTGCTTGTTACTTCACAGCTTGGCACCAAAGAAGGATATTTAATAAAACAAGGCAAAATAGTCAAGGTAAGGAAAACCTACTTGTTGCTTCCACCCACAGAAGCTAAAGGCAATGTGGAGCTGAAATTGCTCCACCTTCATTTCCCTGCAGAGAGGAACAGTTTGTGTTTTGAGCAAAAACAAAGCACAACTGTAAACCAGAGCAAGCCAACAGCTTTGCAAGTTTTGCTTTCCTGAGAAGCACCAGACTAAACTCTCCAAGACAGTTACCATCTGTTCTTGATCTTTCAGAACTGGAAGACAAGGTGGTTTACACTGCATAGGAATGAACTTAAGTATTTCAAAGACCAGACAGTAAGTAGCAAACAGTTCTACTGTTTAAACATCCACACAGGCAGCTGCAGCCTCCTTGTATCTCTGGCTTCCCAAGCTAAAGCTTCCCATATGGTCTTTGACCCTTCCCAGAAGGGTCAAAACTTTCAAGTAAAGTCAGTTTTGATGATGACTTCAACAAGAGAAAGTGAATTTTACAGCTGGAAAACATTTACTGTGCTCTGCCAGTCTTAGCTACTGGGTAGAGTTTACAGGGCTTTTTTATACAGAATCATGGAATAGTTCGGGGTGGAAGGCCCTCAAAGATCACCTCCTTCCAAACCCTCCATCACGGGCAACAACACCTTCCACTAGACCAGGTTGCTCAAAGCCCTGTCCAGCCTGGCCTAGAAAACATTTTTGGGTTGCTTTATTAAGTGGATTTTAAGCTACCAGCACAACACAACCTTCCTTGGTAGCTTAGACACAAYCTAAGAGAGTGTGCTGCTAAAATAGTTCTAGAAATACTGGTAGTATCCYTTGCATTCTTTGATTTCATCCTTTTATTTCAAGTGGTCTCACAAGATACACAGAAAACCATTCATTTAAAAATTCCTTCTGACAAAGATTAACCTGCAGCATCTGGTAAAACAGTGTCCTTACAGTTGCTGCTCCATTTCTGTCTTAATCCAAGGAAAGATAAGAAGCACCTCTAGAGTTTCTTTGCCCTTACAATGCCTCTATTTGATTTTTTTCATGAACACAGCCAAAGTATTCACCTTTGCACTTCTGCCAAGCCCTGTTTCAAGCTTCTAACAGATTTTTACAGAASAGCAGACACAACTGCCTTCTCTCACCAAACATTACCATTTCTAAACAGTTAGGTTTTTGCAGGGCTTTCCATCAGTTTTCATCTCAGTTCAAGACAAGTTGAATTAAGTATGCAGGACAGCATTTCAAAGAGCAGGACTCCATTAGTGACTTACCAAGCAAGAAGGTGTCTTTGTCAGGAGTATGACCTCCTTCCAGGCAGCACCTCTGGGATCTCATAGCAATTCTAGCACTCCAGTTGCTGTGGGGTTTCAGGTACCTACAGGTGCTGCCCCTGGGGTAGCATTTTAAGGAAAGATGAGAAAGCAGCAGACACCTCCATACACCTGATGAAGGACCATGGAAACAGCTAAGGGTGTTTGAGCAGAAAGCAATTAAGCTGCCTCTTCTGAGCTCTTAACAGTGTGAGGCTGAAAAAAATGAAGGAAGAACTCTCACACCTAGGGAGAATGAAACTCCTGCAGGAAATGGGTTGCTGTTATACCCAGTCTGTATCCCTGATCCTGAGCTTGTCCAAAGAAACTTTAAAAAAAAAAAAAAGCATATGCACACATACTTCTCAGGCAGCCAAACCTATGACTTCTGCTGCAAACACTCCTTTGGCTTTGCTTCTACATTTCTCCTTGCCCAGCTTCATCCTTTCAAGGCACCTAGGAATTAATTAAATCTCCAACAGCTGCCTAAGTCTGGTAAGRCCTATACCCATGCCTTTGTCTCACTAAACCTTAGCTGAAAGCAATACCAGATTTGCTGCTCTCTCAGTTACATCATGAGGCATCAGCCAAACCCTCAGCAGTCCCYAGTAGCTCAAACATTCCTGCAGTAGGGATCTTCTCTGTTGCTTGTCCAGATGTGCCTTGTCCTGGGTTTTTCATATTGAACTCAGTCCGGATATATCATAATAGCATGATGTTATGCTGGCCAGTTTGGGTTTATAGGGTTACAGCTATTGTAGCTGTGCCTGGAAAAACCTGCAAAGGTGCCTGTAAATGTCTACATGCACTGAAGATGAACTGAGATAGCCTTATCTTCTGTTTTCATGTTGTCCCCATTTTAAAAACATTTTTTCTTCAAGGCCACGGAACCAATTCGAGCACTTGACTTAACGGAATGCTCAGCTGTGCAATTTGACTATTCTCAGGAAAGAGTGAATTGTTTCTGGTGAGTTGCAGCACTTTCTCCATCTTGYTGGGAAGGTCAAAATAGAAGGGAAATTTTGAAATGTAAACATTGTGTGCTTCTGTAAGGTCCCTCAGTGGCTGTGGCCCTGCTCATCCTCTAACTCCCAAGTCCGTTTTTGTCAGCCAATCTCTGTCAGTCCTGCATGGCTTTGCCAAATTACTCCTGGCAAAAGGTGGGCCTATGTGTAGTGGGCATTTCTAATTCTGTAAGCATGTATAATCATCACCTAGACTTATGGATCTYGGGGTCAGACAGTGCCTACAGGTCACATGGTAACCTCTTCTGTGGCCAAATGTAGATCTTTTATCCTTGTAGACTTCGGGCAGCATCTCCCTGAGCTGTAAATGACTGTCACCTATTCTTGGTTAACCTCCCTCCCTGCCCTGCTCTAAGCAACTGTTGGTACAGGCCATCTGGGCTCAGTCTTGGGAAGAACTGCCAGTTATTCTAGCAATTGAAAAGAGCTTTGTTTACTGACTTACAGTTTAGTGTTCCCACTGAGGACATACTACCTGTGTGCAAAAACTGGGATAGAAGCTGACGAGTGGATTAAAATACTGCGATGGAAACTGGTAAGGTGATGTGTGCTGTCACATGGCATCCCAGGCAGCAGTCCCTGGTGCTGCCATCACAAACCCCCAGTGCTGTAGCACCTRCTCTCAGCACCTGCAAAAAGGGACTGCCAGGCCAGCTAGAATACACAACTTTCACACAATCACAGAATCACTTAGGTAGGAAAGGACCTCTGAAGTCATCAAGTCCAACCTTTGACTGATCACCACCTTCCCAACTATACCATGACACTCCCAGTGTTGCTCCGAGTCTTTTCTTAAACACCTCCAGGGATGGTGGCTCCACCACCTCTCTGGGCAGTCCATTCCAAGGTATAACAACCCTTTCAGTGAAGACRTTTCTCCTGATGTCCAGTCAGAACCTCCCCTGGCCACAGCTTGGTGCTATGTTCTTTCCTTTTGTCACTGGTTGTCTGGAGAAGAGGCCAACCCCCACTTGGCTACAGCCTCCTTTCAGGGAGTTACAGAGAATGGTAAGGTCACCCCTGAGCCTCCTCTTCCCCAGGCTAAACACCCCCAGCATCATCAGCTGTTCCTCATAGGACTTATGTTCCAGCCCCCTCCCCTCCACTGCCCTTCTCTGGACTCACTCAGGCACCATCCTGAATTGAGGGGCCCAGAACTGGACACAGCAGTCTAGGTGTGGCCTCAGCAGTGGCAAGCACAGGGGTATAACCTATCTGCTTGCAAACCCACTTCAGCGTTTGGGATGCACTTTTAACAGGCATGCTCAGTAGTAAGAAAAAATTACTTCCATCTCTAAGGATGTCATAATGTACTTGATAAACAATGTGGATCATCAGCACAGACTGCACATTCTGAATTGAAGGCAGGAATGAAAACACAGTTTAAAGGCCTGAAAGCAGTATTTCCTAAAAAATACTAGGAATTGGGTTGCTGGTACTCATCCACACCTACATGCACACAGACAAGCAGTAATGGACTGTCTTTCTGTTCCAGTCACAAATACGGAAGCAGCTGGAGGAGCGCAACACCATCCTCAGTTCCTAGCTGTGTGCCAGGACTCCTGCTGTGCTGGCAGGAATTGCCTCTCCAAGGGGAAGGTGTTGCTTACCAGAGGGCAGTTTCACATCTCCACTGCTGTCTGTGCCCCACACAGATGTGTCACCCAGCTCTGCACACACAGGATCCCTGCAGCTCTGGCTGYTCTGGGGCTGCCGACCCATGCGTGGGGACAGCTGCAAAACCAGAGCGTGGGTTTGAATGTGTGTGGTGTATGCCTGTAATGCACTTAATTTGAACACCTGCCAACAAATCACAGAAGTGGCCACTGTTCAAAACTTTTGTGGCTATTCAGAGCGCTCTTAGTAATTCATTGCAAGCTCCATCACAACGAAGCATAAGTATCATATTCTGTAACCTGGAGCATTTTATTTAAAAAGTGTAATATCTGGAAACATTAGATATGTTTTTATTACCTGTTCAGACTTTAAACCAAAAGAAAAATGACACAAGTAATTATTTTGTAAATAGTCCCTCTATTGCAATCCAGAGAGTATTTCAAAGCCCTTGTCAAAGTGATGGGTGTGTGACACTTGGTTCTGGTCAAACATRTTTTTATATGGTTTAGCTTTATACCACACTGATGGCTACATGTGAACACATTTGTGTACAAACCAGCGTTATGAGAAACAGTAGCTGCCTCCTGGCACTCAAAGGACACACATTTAAGCCTGCTGTGGCTCACTACAGAGCCAAGAAGTGGAACCCCAGGACTTTGATGCTATACTCAAAATAGATGTTACATTTTGAAAGCAAAGTTTGACACACTGGAGAAACTCAAGACCAGCTTCACGCACCTGCAAGATCCTTTGAGCAACCCTGTGCCTCCTTAAAGGGTGGGGAGGGCCCTCTCTCCCTGCACAACAATTGAATTTATGCTGAAATGGCAYCTGCAAACCTCTCCTGTTATGCAACACTGCAGCCTGTGTTTAGTATTGCTCAKGCAGCAGGTGTTTGGTAACTGCCTTTACTGTGAGAAGAGTGCAGAAGAGGAAGGCAAAAGCACACTGGAAGAAAGAAAATCTAGATTTGGACATATGAATAGCATTTTATTTCAACTTAGAAATTCAAAGTATTTGTAAATATTTTTATACAGACTGTTTTCTGAATAAAATGTCACTATAAAACTACCACAAGTCTTTATAATTCTATATTGCATTGTTCAAGCTTTGTCCTCCTTTTTCCCCAAATGAAGCTTTAACTAACTGGCATCTCCCATTTAGTTAAAAATCTTTGCTAMATTCTTGTGAGTAAGAGGCAGCATAAGGGGAAGAGAGAGACAATRTTCTCCAACAGCATCACTGTTGTGTGAAAATGGCTTGGAAATGGAGCTTTTGGGAAACCACAAACGCAGCCTTCCCCTTTTCACACTGCTTCACTAAGCATTGGAAACAAGTTCAACTCATGGTCTCACAAACYGAGGCCAGTGAAAGAAACAGCACTCAGGTGGCGTTTGGAAGCGGTCAGACAGATGGGTTGTGCAGCAGCAAACAGCAAGGGGAGGCCTTTGCTGGAACACAAACACATTTTGCCAGAAATACACACRCTTCCCAGCTGCTTCTGAAATGCCCAGCAACAGCAGTACTATTCCACCTTTGTTTAAATGGAGAAGGGTTGACTGACAAGCTGTAATCTCRTTTGGAGCCAAGAACTCCCAGTTGTCATTTTCAGCACCACTGTTCCCCCCCATCCTGCCTGATGCAGGTCAGTGAGGTGTGAACAAGAGGCCATGGCATCCCCTTTCCCAGCCTGAGGCACAGACCTGCAATGCTTGGCACTTCTCACAAGGGGACACGGGAGGGAACAGTGGGGTGGGGCTAAGAGCACAGRATTGATCCCCAGCAATAGGATCTCGGCATTGCCCTGGGACTCGGTGTCACTCGGTGTCCTTACTGTCCAACTGAGAGACACACTGGTTTGTTTTTAGCCTGCAAATTAATAGATTTTGTGCATTTACAAAAATTAAGAGACCTGTTCTCTCTATAGACAAGAAGATGTGCTGTGGATTATTACAGTTCAACAGAAGAGTAGACCAGGTTCTGTCATTTAAAAATACTGTATTTTATTTATATTTATTTAAGAAAACCTAAGGGTAAATAAGCTGAGAGTGACACCAGTGATGAACCCACACAAAGACTATGAGACATGAGATCTTCACAACCATATTACACAAAAAAAAACCCATAAAGAAGTGAGACATTGTTGGGTGCTTTTAGCTAGGCATCATGAAAATCCCTAAAGCAACAGCTTCCATAGAAACAGCTTTCTTCCTAGTGGAAGCAGGATACAGCTAGAATCCAGATTAGTAGCACTCCCTTGCCACAGTACCACCCAYGTAAGAAAGCTGGGATATTTATTGATTGTACAGATACATCACTGCTAACACACTCGCAATGCCTCCAGCCATGCTCTGCTCACTCCACCTGATCTGCTTTCCCACACCTAGTGGTGGCAGGCTGACACACCCTGCCATGTGCCTGGTTCCCTGTAAAGCACGAGATCTGGGGTTGCTCCTCTGAGCCAAGGGCATCGCGCTGACCTGGCTCAGCTGGCTGAGCTAAACTCCATGGGAGCTATTTAGGTGGTCTCTCCAGTACTGCACAATACAAGAAGCATGGCCTAAAGTAACATCCACCTACAACACACTAGTAGATCATTTCAGATTCAGTACTATGTACAATTTACTCTTACTTAGTATACTAAGGAGCTGTGGTATTTCTTCYGAGATTTGTTATTTGACTGACGATTATTGAATCTTTCTGTCCACTGGGCTGCAGAGGAATGCTGCATTCTGGCTATACCATCAGGTTAAGAAACTTCAACAACCTGCCTCAGTTCTTCAAACAGGGGCGTGAGCTCCTTCTCTAAACTTACAATCAACCCTGAAAAGAGAGGACAGAATATTCCATCAAACAAYATCACTGAGAAGCCTCCCCTCAAAGCCCACAGCTCCCTGCCCCCTCCCCCTCCTTTCAAAGCCTGAAATGTTTCATGTGAGCCACTCAATTTCCCGTGAATAGTGGGCAGCACCCTAAGGCAGGGTGTCTACAGCCCCTGACACTAAGAAGGGCACACAGGGCAGCACACCTCTCCCCCACTACTGCCTTGYTGCTTCCCAGAGCTACTGAGGCCCAAGAAGCTGTGCCAGAGTTAAACTCCTTTTGCTTGTATTCATTAGCCAATGCCATCATGAGCAAAGCCAAGGTCTGGCTGAAGCATTTCCCCRCCCCACAGAACTGAAGACAAAGCTGCACATGTTCTTGCAGAATGTTAACTTGACTGACAGAAGGAGACTGAACAGCTGGTTTGTACAGCACAACACCTGCTGGTGCAGCAAGGCTGAGGTCAATCACGGGAGAAGTACGCTTCTAAAAGAGTAACTATGTCAGCAAGCCACCTAAAATCTGTGTATTTTTACTCACACCTTTTCCTTCTCACCTTCACAATATGCTGACAAAATTCGCAGCAGGACCAAAGTTAATRCAGCTTTGTAAGTTCAGGGAATTTATTTTCAATTATTAAAATACTCAGGCCTTAAAATACTGCAATCTTTAAAATAAAAGTGAAGACGTACCTGTATTGGCATTGCTGCTAGCAATGAAACTCACTACCAAAGGTAAACGATTGAACTGCACCACCTGCAAGGAGAGAACAGTGCTCATGTTGGATGTCAGAGCTCTGATACACAAATCCTTTCTGAAACAAGCAGCCTCCCCAGTTTAATGGAGAAGCAGGAGCGAGAGCCCCGAAGATGACTTTTCAGTGTTTCTATTTCTTAAGATTTGTGGTGATAAACACCAACAGAACTTACACTGCAGTACAGGAAGCTGCACGTGGAAAACCTGAAATTTCCCTCCTCCTCCACGTTCTACAATGTGCTGTCTACCAGAACAAAACCTAAGCCAGCTGCAAACCCTGCAGAGTCCACTATGAAGACCATACCCCCCACAGCAAACATGAGGGCAGGCAGGTTCATTGCTTTAAAATACTGTTCCCTGTACAGAAGTATCTCTTCTTCCATGAACAGGGAACTGACATCTTGGGCACAACAGTCAGCTGGTAGCATCAAGAGAATCAAGCAATGTACTAATGTGTGCAAACTAACTCAATCACCCGGTTATTTTCCAAAGTGTGACACACTGTAGGCTAAACAGCTGGTCAGTTTACTGCAATCATAATAAAAAGCTCTCAGCACCAGCAGAACTTGTGAAGGAGCAGAAATGTCGTAGGTGATGGACTTCTGGACAGAAATAATCAGTTTGWGAAAAATGTGAGTGGTATTTCACAGCTTTCTTACCTCAAAGCCATACTGGCAGCAAGAYTGGCAATGAAGTGGGCTGCATGTGCTTAATTAATGTTAGGTGTCACTAATTATAAACAAGCATTTACAAAGGAGAACATAAACCCTTCATAACAGACTCAGAAGCCCGTATGAGCAACACCTACTGCAAATTCACAAYTACTGCCTGTTCAGAAAACTTTCCCATTTCCAACCAGTAAATCCCAACTTAGATAAATGTAAGAGAAKTTTAATTAAGAGTGTGAAAATTTGGCTTAAACTACAATTACTTCAATAGCAGCCAAGTGAAAATCTACCAGAGCTTAAACAACCCTGTTTCCCTTGCTCAGTACAATGTAGGAACAGCTCAAGTCACTGAGGACAAGACACAATGAGGTCACTTACCTGGTATGTATTGTAATAGCAGATGATACTTTTGTTTTTAGAGAGTCCTAATTTACTGCCCTGATCTGTGGCRAGGGCAAAGGTGGACAGAAACCCAGGTCGCAGTGCATGTTCTGGAGCATTATCATTGGCAACTAGAACAAAACAAAAAAATTCTTACCTTTACATGGTATCTCTGCACCTAAACTCCTATCCAGCTCAGCACTCTGCCAAAAGCAGATCTGCTKTTGGGGAACATGCAAAACATCTGAGGTGCTCCCACAAGGAGAGAAGTGCATCATTTAATGCTCCATGTATGGTCAAAGCCCATTACTGCAGCATCCTTCCTAGCACACCCAAGAAACAGTCTTTTCCTTTAGGATGCACAGCTTTTGGTTCCATGCCCCTCACTGACTGCACCCATTCCAGCCTTGGGACTGATYACTGGCACACAGTCACTTGACTGCAAACAGGTGAAGATGTGCAAGTTCTGCTGAATTTAAATACTTAGGGGCATTGAAAAAAAGAAACCTGCAGTATTTGAATCTTCATATCCTTAAACTAGTGCACTCGCAGTAAAAACTACAGTACCAAAAAAAGCCAACTAAACGTATGTAAAAGCTGGATGCAACTGTTTCTGAGCACAGCCGGTCAACAAAACACTGCCAAGCTCTCTCTACTACTTAGTATCAATCAGCCTGYGAGGGACTTGAAGATACAAGGACYTTCCAGCACTCTGAGCCCTATCGCCACGGAAAAAKTCCATGGACTACAATTACTRAGGGCACAAACAAAAGGATATATTTAAAGAGGTATATAATCAACTACTGAACTTTAAATAAAAGTCCAATTTAATTCYACCAGTTGGGATGTTCAGGTATTTGGCATAACCATGAAGATTTTTCTATATTTCTCCACCCCCTGCTGTTCAGTCAGGATTTTAGTTGCAGGCACATAAGAAGCTGAAGTTACCTTTGATAACAGGCACACCATCTCTATCTGAGACTACAATAGCATGAAGACCTTCAACACTGGGGAAAAAAAAGGGAAGAACAGAYATAATTTTAAAAACACAGTAATTAGCAGTAAAGGACTTTTTTTTTGTGTGAACAAATGTGCAAGGAAGGGGAAAACATAGAAAAAAAATGGATGCCTTCAYTAATTTGGTATTTATTCTGTTTAGCACAGGTAGTATAGGTCTGGTGGCCCCAATAATAGGAAGGACATGGAACTGCTGGAGCAAGTCCTGAGGAAGCCATGAAGTTGATAAGAGGGCTGGAGCACTTCCCCTATGAAGACAGGCTGAGGAAATTGGGGCTGTGTAGCCTGGAGAAGGGAACATTGAGTCGAAAACTCATAGCAACCTTCCAATATCTGAAGCAGGTTTACAGGGAAGCTGRAGAGGGACTCTTCATCTGGAGCTGCAGTGACAGGACAAGGAGTAATGGGTACAATTTGAAAACCGGGAACTTTAGGTTACATTTTATGAATAAATTCTTTACTGTGAGGGTGATGAGAAGAGGTTGCCCAGGGAGGTTTGGATACCCAACCCYGGAAATGTTCAATGCCAGGCTGGACGGGGCTCTAGTGGGAGGTGTCTGTCCCTGCCCATGACAAGGTGCTGRGAGTGGACGATCCTGCCCTCCCGCCCCGCACGGCCCCGCGTTACCTCGGCAGCTTCTTGTACAGGAACCGCTTCAGGTCCTGCGGGCAGAGACGGGCGGCGCGTTACTCACGGCCGCTCGCAGCGGGCGGGGCAGCTCCGGAGCTCCCTCCCCGCCCGGCCCGGCCCCGAACACCGCCCGCCCGGACGGGTCTGGCCCTCAACACCGCCCGCTCGSACGGACCCGGCCCGACCTCGGCATCCCCCGATCCCACCCCCGCCAGAAGCCGCCGCCCGCGTCCCGCCCGTCCCGCGGAGCCGCACTCACGTCGGCCATGGCTCGGGCCCGCCCGGTGCTGCTGCCACCGCCGCCACCTCCGCGGGCCTGCGAGACAAGACGAGGAGGCCGCCYGGTCACCGCAGGCGCGGCCACCGCCTCCGAGGAGGGGAGCGGCCGGAGGGAGGGCGCGCTCCCTCCCCGACGCCGGCCGGCCGCCACCCCCCGCCCGCTGCCGTGGTACAGCCGCTCCCAGCCCCCCCGAGAAGGGAGCGCGGTTGGGCCGAGACCACCGCGCCGCGGAAGGGGGGTGCGCTGCCCCTGTACCTGTCGGCGCCCCCGGCGCGCCCCGCACGGCACCGCTGCYGCCGCTTCCCCTCGGAGCCGCTGTCACATGAGCGACGGCACCGCCCTCCGGGCCCCGGAACCGCTTCCCAGCCGACCCCGCCCCGCCCCGGCAGCAAAACAAACCAAACACAAAACAAAAAATAGCTTCTCGGTAAAAGAACAACAACCACAAAAAGAGAAACGTCTTTTTGTGCTGAGCAGAGTCACTGCCAGTTTTAATCCTCCGGTGTTGCCTATTTCTACCAAGATCTCGCCCAGAAAAGCTTCTCCTGACTAGGAAGCTTTCCTGAACTGCCAGCMTTGTCCCCGCTTTCAGGCTGGTGATGCCCGGAAAAAGGCCTAGAAATAAAACTCCATAGACCGGTGTCTATAGAGCGGGTATTTGTTTATTACAGCGCTGGAGGTGAGGGGGATTTCTCCTCCTAACCCACCTGCCTTTGCTTCAAATTAGCACATATTTAYACAGTAAGCATGGTGTGACATTACCATTGTCACTACGCCCCCCATACGSCCACCACCATACRCGGGCACGGAAATACATKATATCACAGCGCATGTATCATCCTCAATTCGGTGGTTGCGGAGGTCTCCTCCTAATGAGATACCATCCTCTTCATCAGGGTGGACTTTTAAACTTCCTCTTCAGGGCATGCGCAGTTGTGATGTTCATGTTTTTTTCCTATCCTCCAAGTCTCCATTTTCAATTATTTTGCTGACTGTCCTGTGCCTCTGTCAAGTTCTCATTAGTGCTCTCTACTGTTCCTTGTTTATAGCATCTACCTGTCTACTTTCTTCAGAACTTTTTCTGCTTTATGCCCCTTGGTGATTTCACATATCTATGTACTAATCCAGCTGGTACACTATATGTTGCTAATACACTATTAAAAACACATAGCAATATACAAAAAGGCTATAATTGATAAATATTGAAAGTGGTTACATTGTATTTTAATAATATGTTAAAAAGTTATTACATTCTTATATTGATAATGTATAAAAAAAAGCTATAGAAAGTTTTCAATTAGTAGGCCTCATAAGCACCTCGTCACTTTGATATAAACCACATGTATCACTGGCAAGATGCCGAAAAAAAGAATGTTCACAGAGGGAATCTCTTGGAGAAAAACTTTCTCTGCGCTACGTGCCTGTTAGTCTGCACTCAGGCTCCAAGAGTGTGAAAAGCGAGTTCTCGCTCAGAACACATTCACCCGTGTACATGGCTTTCCTGAAATGGCAGCCCTATTSCTGCTTTCAGGCTGGCAAGATGCGGCAAAAGAGAGATTCTCCAAGCATAATCTCTCGAAGAAAAGCTTTCTCTAGGGCACCCCCCTGTTGCACTGCATTCAGGCTCCTAGAGTGAGAAAAGTGAGATCCTGCCCAGGAAAGCTGCCGCTGATGAGGAGGCTTTCCTGAAATGCCAGCCCTGTACCCGCTTGCAGGCTGACAAGATGTGGCAAAAGAGAGTGTTCACTCTTCTTCCTCTCCTTCTAGCCTGCACCCCACTGCCATTACCTTGAGGGGCTTGGCAAAGAGGGGAGTCTTCTGCGAGAAGGGGTCTGTATCCTCTGGAGCCCCCTGCCTCCTCTGCCTGTATCACTCCAGAATGTGGAGCAAGTCTCTGTTGTTGCCTAATTCTCTGATATGAAAAATGTCTTGCTTTCTTCTGGTGCTTCCAACATTTGAACATCCCTGTGAGAGGTTTTGGTGGTACTTCGGCATTCTTGTGGATCCCTTCCAGCTCASRATATTCTGTGATTCTGTGACCTGGACCAATGTCCCCGATTTGGCRCTGCTGAGGTGCCTCTGGAATGCTGGGCTCAGGTTTGGGAGCACAGTCCAAKGCTGGGGCGTGTCCAGAGCTGGGCAATGGAGCTGTGCAGGGTGTGGAGCACAGGTGTGATGAGGAGCGGCTGAGGGAGCCGGGGGTGTTGAGGCTGGAGCAAAGGAGGCTCAGGAGGAGGCAGCTGCGGGAGTTGGCAGCTGCT